TATATATATGTACAGTGGGTACGGAAAGTATTCAGACCCCTTAAATTTTTCACGATGCAACAAGTTTTTCACATCTGGATTTGGGGATCCTCTGCCATTCCTCCTTGCAGATCCTCTCCAGTTCTGTCAGGTTGGATGGTAAACGTTGGTGGACAGCCATTTTTAGGTCTCTCCAGAGATGCTCAATTGGGTTTAAGTCAGGGCTCTGGCTGGGTCATTCAAGAACAGTCACAGAGTTGTTGTGAAGCCACTCCTTTGTTATTTTAGCTGTGTGCTTATGGTCATTGTCTTGTTGGAAGGTAAACCTTTGGCCCAGTCTGAGGTCCTGAGCACTCTGGAGAAGGTTTTCGTCCAGGATATCCCTGTACTTGGCTGCATTCATCTTTCCCTCGATTGCAACCAGTCGTCCTGTCCCTGCAGCTGAAAAACACCCCCCCAGCATGATGCTGCCACCACCATGCTTCACTGTTGGGACTGTATTGGACAGGTGATGAGCAGTGCCTGGTTTTCTCCATACATACCGCTTAGAATTAAGGCCAAAAAGTTCTCATCAGACCAGAGAATCTTATTTCTCACTATCTTGGAGTCCTTCAGGTGTTTTTTCATGTGTCTTGCACTGAGGAGAGGCTTCCGTCGGGCCACTCTGCCATAAAGCCCCGACTGGTGGAGGGCTGCAGTGATGGTTGACTTTCTACAACTTTCTTCCATCTCCCGACTGCATCTCTGGAGCTGAGCCACAGTGATCTTTGGGTTCTTCTTTACCTCTCTCACCAAGGCTCTTCTCTCAGTTTGGCCGGACGGCCAGCTCTAGGAAGGGTTCTGGTCGTCCCAAACGTCTTCCATTTAAGGAATGGATGCCACTGTGCTCTTGGGAACCTTAAGTGCAGCAGAAATTTTTTTGTAACCTTGGCCAGATCTGTGCCTTGCCACAATTCTGTCTCTGAGCTCTTCAGGCAGTTCCTTTGACTTCATGATTCTCATTTGCTCTGACATGCACTGTGAGCTGTAAGGTCTTATATAGACAGGTGTGTGGCTTTCCTAATCAAGTCCAATCAGTATAATCAAACACAGATGGACTCAAATGAAGGTGTAGAACCATCTCAAGGATGATCAGAAGAAATGGACAGCACCTGAGTTAAATATATGAGTGTCACAGCAAAGGGTCTGAATACTTAGGACCATGTGATATTTCAGTTTTTCTTTTTTAATAAATCTGCAAAAATGTCAACAATTCTGTGTTTTTCAGACAATATGGGGTGCTGTGTGTACATTAATGAGGGAAAAAAATGAACTTGAATGATTTTAGCAAATGGCTGCAATATAACAAAGAGTGAAAAATTTAAGGGGGTCTGAATACTTTCCGTACCCACTGTATATACATAATAAATGTACACAGTACACACATTACATAAACAAAAACTTAATCGTTTGACGGCACTGGTTTTTAGTTATATATTTTTCATTTTTTATTTTAGATAAAATTTTAGTAATTTTGCTGTATATTTTTGTCATTTTTATTATTATTTTAAATATGCCTTTATATCTATCTCTTTTCATTAATTTTATTTATTTATTTTAGTTTTTTAGTTTTCTCATTTACTAAATGAAAACAAAAAATGTTTCCTTGGCGACTATCTGAAATAATAAAATATTTAAAAAATAATAATTATTTTTATTTATTTTTTATGGTTTTAGATTAAGATACAGGTAACTGTAATAACCATGAACAAAAATCAGACTGTATTTTTTATTTGAATGGCTTTATACATTAAAAAATATTTTTATGGTTTTATATTTAGTTTAAGTTAACTATAATAAACCTAAACATCATTAGACTGCATTTACTTTAATTTTATGGACATAATAATAATAAAATTAACATTTTATTTCAGTATTGCTTTTACTTGATTATCTGTTATGTTTTGTAATTTTTGCTATTTGTCATTTGTTATATTTAAAGTGTATCGTTTTACATAGTTTGCTTTTGTGTAAGAAAGTAACACTTAAAGGCACTATACAAAATCATTTTTATTATTATTATTATTCAATATTTTCTTTTGTGTTCCATATAAGAACGGACATCATACAGGTTTGGAACATAGCTGTTGTAGTTGTTAGTTATGTCTCTCTCTCTCTCTCAAATTCTCTGTGTTTAGAAGATATTTATATGTATTATCGTTATAATATGTGTATAGAATTTGAGATGTATTTGAGTGTTGAATTTTTTAGTTCAATCCGATCACAGCAGTCCTCACAATTGTTGAGATCTCTGAAATGCTAGAGGAGATGCATGCCTGAGAGATTTCCTGCACCTCAGATGATTCTGAGAAGCTGTCAGTCTGTGTGAAAACACAATGATCTCTGATTTCTCTTTCAGATGGCCAATGACAGCACAGAGACCAGTGAGGCAGGCGAGGAAGAAGAGGAGCAAGAGGGAGACAATGACAACAAAGAGCGAATGCCCTTCATTCAGTGAAGCCAGACTCATCCAGAGACTTGTTCGGTCTGTTGTTTGTGTGTATCTTTGCCAGTTTTGGACAATGCAGTCAAAAAATACTCCAAAACACTAAGTGTGTTGTTAAATGTTCGACTGAAGTGCCATTCTTAGTGCGGTGTTGAATTGTTGCAGTGTTTTAGACCAAAACGTTACTGTAGGATTGCCTTTTCATGAAAGCCTTTTGCAGCCTTTCGGATGTTTTATTTGCCTCCGTCAGTCAGTGGATTGACAGATGACTGCAGTCAACGTCCAAAATTAATGCTTGCCAAGAGACAAATGGAAGTCAAAATTGGTTTCGGCAAGTAAATTAAACGCAGCAGTGGCTGGAAACATTATAAGGAACTGCAATTTAATAAATAGTGTAGGTCTAACAGTTGGATATAAGTGACTTTAAGTCTTCAGATGTCATACAGGTTTGGAATGACATGAGGGTGAGTAAATAATGCCTACATAAAACCATTTTATCCATAAGGACAAAACTGGATTTTTACAAAAGCATTTTATTCAATAGAAATAATACTATAAATGATCTCAATTCATTGTGCAGGTGTGGCAGGTTAATTTTGGACACCGTTGCAGTGCTTCTGATGCATTTGTGTGTGTGTGTGTGTGTGTGTGTGTGTGTGTGTGTGTGAAATGTTTCCTGACAGTTCTGGAGGTGAGTGAGAGTGTGAGACTGTGTGTTTATGACTGAAACTGGCGAAGAAAGGTAAAGGCAGAATTCGGCTGGAGCTTCTTGTTGTCATGTAGGTGATTGTTTGGGTCGCACATTTTTAGTGTGGCACTGTTTTTCTGCACCGAGCATCTGCGTTACTCTTGGTACATCTCAGATCACATTATTTAAGCCTTTAGAAAGACATTTAAATGAGTTGTCATGATCAGCTACTATATGTAACATACCCCTACAGTATTATGCATGCTCCTTAAAGAAAGAGCTCACCTCAAAATTGAAATTCTGTCATCATTTACTCACCCTCATGTCATTCCAGACCTGCATGACTTTCTTACTTCTATGGAACAGAAATGGAGATATTTCGCAGATTGTTCATGCTGCTCTTTTCCATACAGTGGCCCAGGGGGTGAGTAAACAATGACACGAATGCTTTTATTTTGGATGAACTGTCTCGGTAAATCACCAGTAAATGTTCTGATGTTAAAGTCAAAGCCAAGCATCATCAAACTAGTAACCAACAACAACACAAAATAAATAAAATAATAATTCTTAGTGCCTTTTGTCGCATATCTGCACTGAGGACCAGAAGGCTTGTCAATGTTTGTTTTTCTTTTTGTATTTCATGGAGAATAGACACTTTAATGTCAAATATATTGAATGATTAAAATATTTTCTGCTTACCTCAGAAATTAAAATTGTGGTTGTGTTCTCAAGTTGTATTAGTTGTGCATATACGTGAAGGTATGCTTTCTTTCATCTCCTTTTAAATTATTAATTAGCTGGCTTTATAGAGAATATATATAAAAACAACCAGTCTGATAGTAATTGATCATGGCTTGCGCTCATCATTTTTCCTCCTTTTTTGAGTCGTTTCTTTACATTAAAAGAATAGTTTACCAAAAAATGAAAATGTGCTTATAACGTACCCTCCAAGATGTAGAGGAGTTTACTTCTTCATCAGAACAGATTTGGAGAAGTGTAGCTTTACATCACTTGCTCACCAGTGGATCCTCAGTCTGCAGTGAATGGGTGCCGTCAGAATGAGAGTTCAAACAGCTGATAAAAACATCACAATAATCCACAAGTATAATCCACACCACTCCAGTCCATCAGTTAACATCTTATGAAGTGAAAATCAGCTGTTGGTTTGGTTAGAAACGAATCTGTCATTAAGGTGTGAACTTTAAACAATCACTTCTGGCCAAAATACTGACTAATGCAAAAATTTCTCCAGTGACTTTTTCACTGGAGAAAGCAATAGTATGGAGAGAGGACTCCTATTTTAGCTGGAAACACCTTAACGCCTTAAAGGGATAGTTCACCCAAAAATGAAAATGTGATGTTTATCTGCTTACCCCCAGGGCATCCAAGATGTAGGTGACTTTGTTTCTTCAGTAGAACACAAACTGAGATTTTTAACTCCAGCTGTTGCAGTCTATCAGTCGTATAATGCATGGCAATGGTAACAAACCACAACCTCGCCCCTCCCCACCCCCCAACCATTCGAATTTCTGTAGGCGGGAATTATTTGTAATGATATTCCAATGAGCCACTTTGTGATGTCACAAAGCCCGGAAAACAAACGCTGTAGTCCAAACGAGCCGTTCGTTGTAGTTCTTGAAAAGGGATTTTTAAAAAAACTAAATATCTCCCTTTGGAGTGGACTTTGAGATTTGTAACTTTCTAGATCTTTTTTATGGCCAAACATACACACTACACACTGACTAAAATTAAAAAAGTGAAAAAGCATAATAGGACCCCTTTAATGGAAATATCTGCCAGAATAATTAAGTGTTTTTCTGAAAGACTACTTTTGACAACCAATGAGCAAATATCTATAAGATTACCTGCCCCAAAAATATTTGAAAGAATTTCTGGGATTAAAGCTTGCTAGCTTCACAAATGACAAAACCAAAATTTGAGTATCATTTATGTATCATGATTTGCAATAAATATCATATTTCTAAATTATTTTTAATTTTTATTTAATGTGAGTAACAGGCTGAAAAAAATGGTAACGCTTTACAGTATGGTGCCATTTGTTCAAATAAACTACGTAGCTAACATGAAATAATAATGAAAAATACCTGTAAGGCAATAATTTTAATTACTAAAACATTATTAAAATCAAATGTTGTATCTGTGATATTATTTGATAGACCTCAGCTAATAATATCAATAAACAACTAACATCAACATAGAATAATAAATTATGTAACAAATGTATTGCTTAATATTATTTAATGCATTAATGTCGTTAACTAATGGGCCCTTATTGTGAAGTGTTACCTGAAATTTAAATGATTATTGACTGAAAATGGTGACATCCTCAAGTCATGAGCTATGAGAGTTCATATTTCTGAATGAATTTTTCCTTTAAATCTAATCTTAGTTAATGTTTTTAAGTCCATGTCCTTTCTGCAGCTTGAAAACTTCAGCCCCTATTTTTTGTAATTGCATGGAAAATTCATTGAAAATGTTAATATTCGTGATATATCCTCATGAAACGTATAAATGTATCTGTCCAAATCTTTTTCTTTTGAAAATGAGAAGTAGTCTAGATGATCTGCAGGTCACATGTCATGTGTCTCAAAGACACGCAGTTAAAGATATTCCCTCTGGGCTGTTTGCTCTTTTTTTGCGTCACGCTCTAAAATTAGCTGAGAACACTGAGCTCTGAACTGGACTTCCTTCCCTGATCAACAGCCCCTATGTCTCCAACTCCAACTAAAATCTATGTGCAGTTATTCATATCCTCTAGAGGTGTTTATGAACAGGTTATGCAACTAATTTGTTTAATACTTGCTGTAACTGATCTTTATGATTCAAAATATATGAATCTTTAATTTTGATTAAATTAAACAAAATATTATTGGTCTTATCAACATTTCTTGTTGATACTTAGATAAAATTAAATATATTTTTTACAATCTAATCAACAAAATAATAAAAAAATTGTATTTGAAATATTTTAGATGAATTAAATAACATTTTGATTGATCTAATCAACATTTAAAACAAATGAGATAAAAATAATTTAGTATGTCCTAATCGACATTTATGATTAAATATGATTTGAAATATTTTGCATGGAATAAATGACTAAATTAAATGATATTATACTATTTAATTAATTACATTATTAATATATTTAAATCATTTATAATTAAAACTTATGTTTTTTTATTTGAAACGTTTCAGATGGAATAAATTATGAAAATTGAAAATTTGCAGCATTGCAAAACATAACAAGTGAAGAAGAATGCTATGTAAATTTTATAAAATTTACTCATTTTGAATCAGTTTCTTTCAGTTTGAAGTTCAGTTTTTTTTTCTGTGGATTATTCAAAATCTACTTTTTATAAATCACTTTTCACATTTCTTTAGAACAAACTGGTCAAAAGCAAGGAATTTATTTACAAAGGACTGCAAAACTGAAATATAAATGTAATTCATTTGACTTTTTTAAATCCAGGCCACACATAAGGTGTGGTTAGTGAATGAAGTTTCTTGTTGGGTTATGAATGGGTAAACTCCCAAATTAATTTCATGTTCTTCCCAAGTAAATATTTATGAATGGCTGGAAACAGGGGATTGGTTGTTGTGACTGCACTGAAGGCATTTCAATTCCCTTTAGGTACACAAAAACACTGAATGTCCAGCCAATAGCCTGAGAGTAAAAAAGAGAGAAAACTGTAAGACTTGTCCACTTTCTCTCAGTGATTTGCACAGCTCGTCTGTGACCATGGCACAGTCTTGGCTTCTGCTGTTAGTGATCTGCTTTAGTGTCCTCCAGTTCGGATATGGCCATCCCTCTCGCTCCAAAAAAGCAGTTCCAGCTCGACAGAGAGGTAACTATTATGTCAGGACTGTATGTATTTCCTTAGCTGCATCAAATCCTTTAGAACTCTTAGATTCAGTCAAGCTTTTGTAATGTATTGAATATTTGATCTGACCTCTGGTGTGTCATTCTTCTGTTGAGATACAGCGACAGAGGATGAGGACACGAGGACACAGATTGACAAGCTGTGGCAGGAAGTCAATTCCCTGAAAGAGATGCAGGCGCTGCAAACAGGTAAACAGTTATACATGATTGATTTCATTTAAAAAGCATGATAATGCTGCAGATCATTATTTAAAGGGGTCATATGATGATGCTAAAAAGAACATTATTTTGTGTGTTTGGTGTAATGAAATGTGTTTATGCAGTTTATGGTTAAAAAAACACATTATTTTCCACATACTGTACATTATTGTTTCTCCTCTATGCCCCGCCTTTCTGAAACGCATCGATTTTTACTAAGCTCATTGGTCTGAAAAAGCGAGGTGTGCTCTGATTGGCCAGCTATACAGTGCGTTGTGATTGGCCGAATTCCTCAAGCTTGTGACGGAAATGTTACGCCCCTTACCATATTGTGATGCCTGCGGCAACCACATGTGACGACCCCGGGCTGGACTCTGCTTCGTCCACGGTGAAAGCCGATCCGGCGATCCACAGCGCAAAGTTGTAGTATTTCCTCAGCGACCAGCACGGATCAGCTCTAGGCATGGCGAAGCAGATATCGTCCTCTTTTGGAAGGCCAATCAAAGTAGTTTCGCTTTCACAACGAGTTACGCCTTCTTTCTTTGCGTGAACATTCGGGCGGTGTTATGCAAATCTTCCCACATAGTGAGGTAGACATGTGGGGGCGTGTTAGAACGAGCCGTTTTAGGTAGGTGTGTCTGTCTCTTAACTTTTATAAAGAATATCTCTTTGGATTTGAGACTTTAGTCTTTGCAACTTTACACATCTTCTTTATGCACCAAGAGCTTGTAACACTCCAAAACGAAAGGAAAAATTGAAATCGCATCATATGACCCCTTTAATATTATGCCTGTTTCACACCATAAGTGGCAGCAGTTCATATTATTAACAAATGAAAGTTGACATCCGAAGTGTCTCTGTGAAAGAGAAGTGTGCTTAATATTGTAGTGCACTTCAAATCTTAAAAGTATTTTTCAGACAACTACTTGCACATAATATAATATTAATGGAATATAATGCCACTTATGTGTACTTACAACTTTCATACAATGTTTCTTAACACACTTAAGTATACTTTTAAAAAGTGCACTTTGTAATAATGTGAAATTAAAACTTTTGCTTTAAAATAGCTTTCATTAGGTTTTCATACATTTTTTTAGTGCTTTAAAGAAGTATGCTTATTTTGATATGTTGACTAACATAAAGCACATGTAAAGTACTTGATTATAATTTAACTGCAGTGTTATTCGATGTTGCAATTAAAGTTAATATATTTTAAGTATACTAAATTGCAATACATTTTAAATACATGACACAAGTTTAAATAGAAATGACATTAAAGTATATTTTACATTACTAAATGCGTGACAGTACATTCAGCAGTACACGTTAACCATATTTCAAAGACAATAGAAGTAATTATGAAATTGCATATGAAGATGTACTTAAGTCTAATTTTAGTGGGTCAAAAAAGCACTCTAAAGTTTAACATTGCATTTAATATAAATTTAAGAAATAGTATGCTTTCATTTAATTTTAAATAATTTGCAATAAAATGTCTGAAAACATTAACATGAACGTTGTTCACAATCATATTCTTTTAAAGTATAGCCTATTATTTCTATACTTCGATGACGACAACTACTATTACTACTGATAATAATGCTAATGACCACCGTTAGTACTGTATTTTTATTACTTTTATTGTTATTACTGTAAAATTGGAATGTATTCATTACGGTTAACCTCAGCGGCTCTGATGGTTAACCTCAGCGGCTCTGATGGAGGGAGTCTATGGAGACTCCTGTGTTCATTTGTTGCATCAGAAAACAAACCTCTTTGGCGCTAACATTGTATATCTCCAGTAATGGCGGACTGCTGCTTCTAACTCAGGGCTGTGTTTATGCTAATAGGGCAGAGATCGTCACAAATGGGCATGACTTCCTTCAGTGACGAGTAAAGAGGGAGAATCGAGTTCATGTCCACACGTACACGAGTTTTTCCTTCTTCCGTTTTTAAAAAAATCTCCGTCCACATGAAAACGCAAACGCATGCTATGAAGCACTGTCAAGAGCATGCCAAACCAACAGGTGGCGAAATAATCTCCAGCTTGGCCAAACAGAAGCCTGAAAAAGTCTCCAGTAGGCGGAGATAACAGCGCAGGCTCCGACGTCACAAGCCAAAAACTCTGGTTTCGCTGTCTACACGACAACACTGCAACCGGAGTGTAACAACGTTTGTAGGTCGGAAAGAAGAAGCCGGGAACTGGCGAACACTTCAACAAAACTTTAATAAAATAAACAAACACAAAATAGCACAAACAAAACCAAAACACAACATAAACTATAGGCCTGGTCCTCCTCGTCCAACACTATTGTCACTCCTTTTATCCTTCCAGAGCTCCTCCGTGGGACTCGAGACCGGTGAGTGGCGCAGGTGTCGCGCATTAGCAATTACTCCACCGGCCTCGCTCCGTTCTCATGGCTCTCGGGCCCGCCCCTCTCGTCACATACCCCCATCGCCCCTCGCAGGCTGGGGGGTACTCCTGAGACTGCGCTCTACCCCCCCCTCTGGGGGAGCCGATCACGGCGGCCGCGGCATACCTGGGGGTAAGGACAGACAGACGAGGTGAGAGAAAAGGAGACGGAAGGATGAGGAGAGACAGAGACGAGAGAGGGAAGAGAGGAAAAAAAAATTCTGGGTCCGGTTCCTAGACACACTGCCGCTCGGCCCTCCACCAGCTGGGTAAACTCTTCCGCGATGCCTGGCGGCGGCAATGGAAAGCCCTCGGTGGACGGCCCGACACTCCTCCGCCGCCCGGTGGACAGCGACGGCTCCTCCGGGTTTGGGCAGCCGGCAAGAGTCCCCGTTCCCTGCTCCTCCCCATCATGGCGGATGGCAGCAGGCTCCGGCCTCAGGCGAACGGTGGCGACTCCTCCGCTCCCTTACTGACGGCAGCCGTCCCTCCACAGCCCAGGCGGCCGGCTGCGAGTTCGTCCGCCCCCACCGCGGCAACTCACTCCAGCCACCGCCTCGAGCCTCCATGGCGGCAGACTGCTCCGCCATGCTCGATGGCAGCGCGGATTCACCACAGCGGCGAGGGATCTCTGGCAGCGAGTCCCTCCTTCCTCCCGGGTTTCGGCACCAATGTAACAACGTTTGTAGGTCGGGAAGAAGGAGGCGGGAACCGGCAAACACTTCAACAAAACTTTAATAAAATAAACAAACACAAAATAGCACAAACAAAACCAAAACACAACATAAACTCCAGGCCTGGTCCTCCCTCGTCCAACACTGTTGTTACTCCTTTTATCCTTCCAGAGCTCCTCCGTGGGACTCGAGATCGGTGAGTGGCGCAGGTGTCGCGCATTAGCAATTACTCCACCGGCCTCGCTCCGTTCCTATGGCTCTCGGCCCTGCCCCTCTCATCACACAGAGTTTTTGAAAACCTTCACCCTGGCAGGCGTTTTCAAAAATGTTCGGTTTCAGTGAACTGGTGCTGCGTTTGCGTCTGGACGAATGGCCGAACCGCATAGAAAAAACTGCTATTTTAAAAATAACCGCGTTCGTGTGGACAGGGCCTGAAATCGCTTGTTCTGAGAGACTGTTTATAATTGATTGGGATTATAAAAAAATGAGTGGGTGGATTTTTACCATTATAGGCTGATTGTTTTCACACACTGTGGCCACACAACTGTGTTCAAACGCCTTATAAAAGTGATTTTTGCATTACAGTAACAGTAAAAATGCTTCATAAATATAGCAATATTTTTGTCACTGATTATTTGATATTCACATTGTAAGGCATGTGTGAAACTGCCATAAACCAGTGTACATGAGTGAATGTGTTTTATATGTTTCAGTTTGCCTGCGTGGCATCAAAGCCCACAGGAAGTGTTACCTGCTTTCTGAGCAGGCCAAGCACTACCATGAGGCCAACGAGGACTGCATCGCACAGGGAGGGACCCTGGCCATACCTCGAGACATCAACCAGAACGACGAACTCACAGACTATGTCAAACGCAGCTCACCCGCATCCAAAGATTTCTGGATCGGCATAACAGACATAGTGAAGGAAGGCCAGTATGTGGACGTGAACAGCCTGCCTGTCACTTTCTTCCACTGGGATCGTTCCAAGAGAGAGCCGACCGGAGGGAAGAGAGAGAGCTGCGTCGCGCTCTCGATGGCAGCACAGGGAAAATGGCACGACGAGGTCTGTCGCAGTCAGAAGAAATACATCTGTGAATATCTGATCCCATGATGTGTATGGCGCATGACATCAAGATGCATGTTAAATGACAGCCTGTCATTAAGCTGCTCATTAAAAATGAAACACTCAGTGGTAATGAATGATGTGTCCTCTTTATTCACTCGACCGGTAGAGGAACACAACAGAAACTTGCTCAGGTTTACAGTTAATAAAATAAACAAACACAAAATAGCACAAACAAAACCAAAACACAACATAAACTCCAGGCCTGGTCCTCCCTCGTCCAACACTGTTGTTACTCCTTTTATCCTTCCAGAGCTCCTCCGTGGGACTCGAGATCGGTGAGTGGCGCAGGTGTCGCGCATTAGCAATTACTCCACCGGCCTCGCTCCGTTCCTATGGCTCTCGGCCCTGCCCCTCTCATCACACAGAGTTTTTGAAAACCTTCACCCTGGCAGGCGTTTTCAAAAATGTTCGGTTTCAGTGAACTGGTGCTGCGTTTGCGTCTGGACGAATGGCCGAACCGCATAGAAAAAACTGCTATTTTAAAAATAACCGCGTTCGTGTGGACAGGGCCTGAAATCGCTTGTTCTGAGAGACTGTTTATAATTGATTGGGATTATAAAAAAATGAGTGGGTGGATTTTTACCATTATAGGCTGATTGTTTTCACACACTGTGGCCACACAACTGTGTTCAAACGCCTTATAAAAGTGATTTTTGCATTACAGTAACAGTAAAAATGCTTCATAAATATAGCAATATTTTTGTCACTGATTATTTGATATTCACATTGTAAGGCATGTGTGAAACTGCCATAAACCAGTGTACATGAGTGAATGTGTTTTATATGTTTCAGTTTGCCTGCGTGGCATCAAAGCCCACAGGAAGTGTTACCTGCTTTCTGAGCAGGCCAAGCACTACCATGAGGCCAACGAGGACTGCATCGCACAGGGAGGGACCCTGGCCATACCTCGAGACATCAACCAGAACGACGAACTCACAGACTATGTCAAACGCAGCTCACCCGCATCCAAAGATTTCTGGATCGGCATAACAGACATAGTGAAGGAAGGCCAGTATGTGGACGTGAACAGCCTGCCTGTCACTTTCTTCCACTGGGATCGTTCCAAGAGAGAGCCGACCGGAGGGAAGAGAGAGAGCTGCGTCGCGCTCTCGATGGCAGCACAGGGAAAATGGCACGACGAGGTCTGTCGCAGTCAGAAGAAATACATCTGTGAATATCTGATCCCATGATGTGTATGGCGCATGACATCAAGATGCATGTTAAATGACAGCCTGTCATTAAGCTGCTCATTAAAAATGAAACACTCTGGTAATGAATGATGTGTCCTCTTTATTCACTCGACCGGTAGAGGAACACAACAGAAACTTGCTCAGGTTTACAGTGCTTGTTTAGTTAGTTAATATTAAGGCAATAATATTATGTTTTTTTTGGGGATGATGGTGTCTTGTACAATTTTTTAACATTTTGAACATGAACATTTTGACTTCGCAATCAGATAATTCTGACAATTTTGAATATTTTGCACTATCATCTGTTGAGGTCAATTGTTTAAAAATAATAATATGACCAAAACAAACAACAGAAGTTGTTTTTCAGATGAGGTATTTAATTGTTTTCACACACTGTGGCCACACAACTGTGTTCAAACGCCTTATAAAAGTGATTTTTGCATTACAGTAACAGTAAAAATGCTTCATAAATATAGCAATATTTTTGTCACTGATTATTTGATATTCACATTGTAAGGCATGTGTGAAACTGCCATAAACCAGTGTACATGAGTGAATGTGTTTTATATGTTTCAGTTTGCCTGCGTGGCATCAAAGCCCACAGGAAGTGTTACCTGCTTTCTGAGCAGGCCAAGCACTACCATGAGGCCAACGAGGACTGCATCGCACAGGGAGGGACCCTGGCCATACCTCGAGACATCAACCAGAACGACGAACTCACAGACTATGTCAAACGCAGCTCACCCGCATCCAAAGATTTCTGGATCGGCATAACAGACATAGTGAAGGAAGGCCAGTATGTGGACGTGAACAGCCTGCCTGTCACTTTCTTCCACTGGGATCGTTCCAAGAGAGAGCCGACCGGAGGGAAGAGAGAGAGCTGCGTCGCGCTCTCGATGGCAGCACAGGGAAAATGGCACGACGAGGTCTGTCGCAGTCAGAAGAAATACATCTGTGAATATCTGATCCCATGATGTGTATGGCGCATGACATCAAGATGCATGTTAAATGACAGCCTGTCATTAAGCTGCTCATTAAAAATGAAACACTCATTTCTGTCAATATGGGGTGCTGTGTGTACATTGAGGAAAAAAAATGAACTTAAATGATTTTAGCAAATGGCTGCAATATAACAAAGAGTGAAAAATTTAAGGGGGTCTGAATACTTTCCGTACCCACTGTATATATATACACACACACACACACACAGTTTTTTGTATAATTTATTTGTTTTTCATTTATATACGATTTTTTCTTAGTTTATATTATTTATTTATTTTTAATCTGTCCACTTATCTAAACTTCCAGTGTTGGGAAAGCAGCGAACACAATAAAACCATTCTGAAGGCAAAGGCCCAGTCATATAATGACAGCAGACTTCAATCAAAAGGTTGAAGTGTGCTCTCAGGACAAGTTTTATATTTCATAACTATCATGCAAAGTCGCGCACTACATCACAATATTTTCACTTTGCTAGCTGCCAGTCAGCTGTTTTATAATGCACACAGACACATATTTTT